GCTTCTGCTCCCACTTCTTGCTGCCCGCGTCCGCGCCGCCCGCCCCCGCGCGCCCCGGGCCTCGGCCGGGAGCCCCGCGGAAGGGGCGGAGGACAAAAGGGAAAGTGGGGCGAGCCGGCCAACTTCGCGGCGCGAGCCGAGGCGAGGCCGTCCGCTCCCGGCGCCTCTCCTGCGCCCCGCTGACCTTTCACTTTGTTCCGAATAGGATGGCACCGTCTTTAACGAAAAGTTGGCCGGCCCGGCGCGCTTCTCCCCAGACAATGCTGCCCAGCCCTGGCGGCTGTCAGAAGCAGGAATGCACGACTTCAGTTTATTTCTAAACAGACTGCTTAAACGGGCTTTGGATATAAAAAGTTCCCCTTTTTTGTTAATGCTGTTTAGTCGTCCCTTTTGCCGATTCTCAAGGATAGTTTGTTTCCTAGCTTGTAGCAGCACTGAGACCAAACTCTTGTGAGATGGACCACTAGCTTCCCACGGAAGGGAAAAGCAAGCAGGAGGCAGTGTGCCCGTGGAAATGCAGAAATAGTGCGGGCTTCGGGCTGACAGAAGGGACCAGTTTGGAAAAAAGTGATGATCTCTGAGTTTTTCTCTGAAAGTACTTCGTGTGTAGCAATAAACGTGGGGACTTCAGAAAGCTCAGGTGTGGTAATACAGTCATCTGGTGCATACACTTAACTGTGTCTTTTGATCGAAGTAATGTGTGGTCTTCTTATTTCTGATCTTTTTCGTGTATCTTTGGGAGTGTTGATAGTAAGTACACTGGGAGGGTGCAGGGGATTTTTAAAGTGCAGTGCGAGGAGTATTAATTGAATTCTTATCACACACTCAAGGAATGTATGAGGCTCTGGGACAAGTAGGTAAATTGGGTAACTTTAAAAGTCACTTCCAGGTTTGTGGAGAAAAGATGTGTACGGAGTGATGATATTTATTGGGCACTCGCTGTGGCTCGCGGCCCTGTGATTTACTTCAGGTAAGTTCTCTCGTTTACCTTTCTCTGCTCTGTGCGGCAGGTACTATTATTTCCTACTTAGCAGGCAAGGAAAACACGACTTGGAAGAGATTGAATGACTTCATAGTCCGTTGTAGGACTAGCACTTGTTGGGTGTTTGGCACATAGTAGGTTTTTAATAAATAACTGATGAGCAAATGACCCCAGATGGCTCTCATTCCACGATCAGCCTTGAATAGAGGGCTTAACTCAGCTGGTGGTAATGACAGCCTGTTTACTAAGCCCTTACCTGTGTCCAATCCTGTTGTGGTGCTTTGCGTGAATTCACTCATTAAAGCCTGACAGCGATCTTCCGAGGTGGGTACTGTTCTGTTCCCGTTTGCAGATGAAGAAACAGGCACAGTGCATCCCAGCGTCTCAGACTTTGTGCTGGAGAGGATGTATGCAGGCAGTTTAGCTCACTGAACATGTGCTGTGTCCGTGGTGGTCATTTTCACGAAATGAAAGCTCTGGGTTTAGATTCATGATCTTAAGTGTTTATTGTGGAGGTGCATTGATAGGGTAAGGGGCCTCCTGGACGGTGGGTAGGCATAAGATCATCTCTTGCCACTAAATCTGTGAAATGGTTAGTGGATCAGGGTTCACTGATTGCCAAATGATTAAACCAGCAAAGTGAACATTTGAAACTTACCTAATTGCCTGTTTGTTCTTTTCTCTTTTCCTTGACCTCGAAAGAGAGTCACCACTTTTTCACACTAAAGAGAACTAGTAAGCTAGTGGAATATATCCCCTGCTCCCATTTTGTGGATTAGTAAGTGGGGGCTCCTGGGGTTTAATGTATGTTCAGGATCGCCCAGGACCAGAGCATAGGGTAATGTACTTGATTTAAGGCTTTTGACCCAGCAAAATGTCTCCTTTTAGCAGGAGAGCCTTCCCAGGCAGATTGTATGCTTCATATTCTAGCAGGGTGGCAACTTTGTATCTCTTTTTTAAAACTTACTTTTTTGTTAAAATAATATAAGCACATGTACATAGTTTAAAAAGTCAGATAGTGTTGGGGCACCTGGCTGGCTCATTCCATAAGACTCTTGATCTCAGGGTGGTGAGTTCAAGCTCCATATTGGGTGTGGAGCCTACTTAGACTCCCTCCCCCCAAAAAAAAATACTGAAGGAAGTTAAAAAAAAAAAAAAAGTCAAATAGTTCTAAAAGACCTTTTTTTTTTTTTTTAAAGATTTTATTTATTTGAGAGAGAGAATGAGAGACAGAGCATGAGAGGGAAGCGGGTCAGAGGGAGAAGCAGACCCCCCGCTGAGCAGGGAGCCCCATGTGGGACTCGATCCCGGGACTCCAGGATCATGACCTGAGCCGAAGGCAGTCGCTTAACCAACTGAGCCACCCAGGCGCCCCCTAAAAGACCTTTTAAAAAGGCCACCCTCCTCCTCCTCTCTTGCCTTTCTAGAGAGGCAGCAGCCACTTGACACTCTTAACATTTGCTTCATGTGTCTAAATAATATGTTTGTGTTGCCATGTCTTCATTCACCAATTTTAGGGGTTATTTGTTGGCTTCCACTAATGGTAGATGATGACTTCAGTTCTCTCATACTCTGTTACCTGGAACACTCAGTTTTGGTTAAATTCGTACCCAAAATCATCAGTTCAGGTCATTATTGTGCCATGCAGTTGCTTTTCTTTCCTTTTCTTTCTTTTTAAGATTTTATTTTTTTAAAAAGATTTTATCTTAGAGAGCATGTGAGTGGAGGGAGGGGCAGAGGGGGAGGGAGAAAATCTTAAGTAGACTCTGTGCTGAGCTGTGCTGATCCCACGACCCTGAGATCATGACCTGAGCCAAAACCAAGAATAGGACGCTTAACCGACTGAGCCACCCATGCACCCCTTAAGATTTTATTTTTAAGTAATCTCTACACCCAGTGTGGGGCTCGAACTCACAACCCTGAGATCAGAGTCACAGGCTCCACCAAGCCAGCCAGGCACCCTGTATTTCTTTTTTTTATACAGCCTTTTTTCTTTCTTGGAGTTAATGATTGCCTCATTTTTCATTTGCCTGGTTTCCTTTGAACTTCAGAATAACGTTCTTGCACTTTCTATTCCGTGAAATGTTTCTCAATTTAAGTTTCCTCCACTTTGCCCTGTCAGCTCACCATTTGCTTCTTTGGTGCTCCTGAGTCACTCTGCCCAAGTCAGGATGTGCTTGTTCTCTTGGCTTGGTGCACACTGACATCCTGGGAATTGCCCCCATCATTCTCTAGTGATGAATCCCTTTCCCTGCATCTAATGGCTCCTCTCTGTGTGTTTACTCACTCGTGGTGGTAGAACACATTCTCTAATAGCTTACCAGTAGTTTTTTGGGAGGCAAACTTTTGGGACTTGCATGTCTGAAAATGTACTTATTCTACCATCACACTGAAAGATTATGTTTGGCTGGGCTTGGCATTCCAGGTTGGAGGTAGTTTTTAAGTTATTGCTCCCATATCTTCTAGTTTTCATTGTTGCTGTTGAGAAGTCCAGTTTGATCTCAGTCCTTTTAACCATGATTCCCCCAACACATTTTTAGGATCATTACATCCCACAGTTTTTATGATGTGTCTTAATGGTAGCCTATTTTCATTATCATGCAGGATATTAAGTAGCTTGAAATCTGGAGATTGATGCCCTTTTGTTGGTAGGAAATTTTGTACAATATGTTTGAGATAGTTTATTTTCTACTATTTCAGTTGGATATTGTACTTCCTGTACTAAATATTCTAATTTTTATTTATTTTTTAAAAAGTTTTTACTTATTTAGAGTGGAGAGGGAGAGAGAGAGCGCACTCAAGCAGGGGGAGGGGCACAGGCAGAGGGAGAGAGAGAATCTCAAGCAGACTCTGTGCTGAGTGCAGAGCCCAACCTTGAGATCATGACCTGAGCTGAAACCAAGAGTTGGACGCTTAACCGATTGAGCCATTCAGGCACCCCAGTATTCTAATTTTTAAAAGCTTTTTATCCTGGTCGTGACTTAATCTTTTTGTTTTACTTTTTGGGAGCATTTTTGACTGTTCTTTCACTGAATTTTTAACTTTTCTTGTCATATTTTCATGTTCTTTATTCTGTCTTCCTTTTTTAATGCTTCCTATTCTTGTTTAATGTATATAGTATCTGCTTGATTTCAGTTAAATTTCTTAAAATCCAATTAAAACTTTAAAAAACTATTTTATTGGGCACCTGGGTGCTTCAGTTGATTAGGCATCCAACTCTTTTTTTTAAGATTTTATTTATTTATTTGACGGATAGAGAGCGAGCACAAGTAGGCAGAGCAGCAGGCAGAGGGAGAGGGAGAAGCAGGCTCTCCGCCGAGCAGGGAGCCTGATGTGGGGCTCGATCCCAGGACCCTGGAATCATGACCCGATCGGAAAGCAGACGATTAACCAACTGAGCCACCTGGGCCCCCCCCCCCCCTTTTTTTTTTTTTTTTTAAAGATTTTATATATTTATTTGGGGGAGAGAGAGAAAGAGGGAGGGAGAACACAAGCGGGGAGGAAGCACAGAGGGTGAGGGAGAAGCAGACCTCCTGCTGAGCAGGGAGCCCAATGTGATCCCAGGACCCTGATATCATGACCTGGACTGAAGGCAGATGCTTAACCCACAGAGCCACTCAAGCGCCCAGTGTCTGACTCTTGATCTGGACTCAGGTCTTGATCTTAGGGTGGTGAGTTCAAGCCCCACGTTGGGCTCCACGCTGGGCCTGTGGCCTACTTAAAAAAAATTATTTTAAAATTACTGTTTTTCTGATTTTTTTCTTTTTCTGATCTTTTTCTTTCTTTCTGGACAGCTTCTCCCAGTGTCTGGTGATGGTTGGCTCTTTATTCACCTTTAAGAATAAAGTGCTAAAAATGGAAAGCTTGAGTGTTTGGGGGCTTGTTTACTTGTTGCTTCAGTGGAGGGTGATGACTGACTTTTTTGTTGGCTCTCTAAATGTTACTGTCCCCTGGTTTTACTTCTTCAGAGAAGGCTCCATCAGTCTTTTGCCTTGTTGCTGTTGAGCTGGACATTCTGGAGCTAGGTTAAAGGGCAGGAGGAGGAAGAGGAGGGTCTTCCCGTGTCTCAGTACATAGCCTTGACCTAATTTCCCTGCTTTCAGTTGTGGAGCTTACTCCTGTTCTTTGTGCCCGCGGTCCCCAAGTGTGGTACACTTCTGGTAGAGTTCTTACTGAGCTAGCCCTCTGGTCTCTGCAGCTACCATAGAGGAGTGCTTGTCTGAGTGTGTAGGGGGTGCCTGGGGACCTGAGAGTCCAACACCTTCTAGGTGGATTTTTACACCCACACTCCTTTTTAGCTCCAGGCATCACCCCATCTTCTGAGCCTCTCCATAGTCCTGTGGGATCAGTCAGCCTGCTTCTCAGCAGTAACCTCCTTTTTTAGATTTATTTTTATTTTTTAAAGATTTTATTTATTTATTTGACAGAGAGAGACAGAGAGGGAACACAAGCAGGGGGAGTGGGAGAGGGAGAAGCAGGCTTCCCGCGGAGCAGGGAGCCCGATGCAGGACTCGATCCCAGGACCCTGGGATCGCGATCTGAGCCGAAGGCAGACGCTTAATGACTGAGCCACCCAGGCGCCCCAGTAACCTCCTTCTTTAGGTTCCTCTTCCTCCGCTCTGTATAGTGATTTAGCTCTTCTCCATCTTCCTATTTGT